CTAAGACGTGTTGGATAAGAAGAATTTAAAATAGGGGATACTGAAACCAAATCTTATTGTGATTTCTCCTGATATGTGACACTCTCATGAGGTAGCTGGATGGACGGGGTAAATTGTTATTTATCATGCATCACTGAGTAAGGACTTGGTGGGTACTGAGTGGATAAAGTGTTTGGATTGATATGTGGGGTTGATGTTTCAACCTGAACGAGAATGATAATATTAGGTGGCTCATGAATTTGGGGGATCCAATCAACAAAGTTATTGAAAGTTAATCTAGGTAAAAGAGAGTCAAGTGATTCATAAAGAAAAATAGATTTCATAAAATCAACGTGACGAGAAGTGAAATCTTTTGGTTGGTGGATCAAAACATTTAAATGCACTTTGATTAGTAGAATATCTAAGAAAAACGCATGGTTTTGATCGGGCTTTTAGTTTGTTATGAGTGTAGGGTTTTAACCATAGATAACATAGACACCCAAAAACACATAATTTACTATAGTTAAGAGTGGATCAAAATAGTTTTCAAATGGTGAAACCATGTTGAAAACTAGAGTTAACATGCGATTAATAAGATAAGTTATTGTGACAAATCTATGAGACCAAAATTGAAGAGGTAAGGAACCTGAGCAAGGAGTGTGAGACTAGTTTGGATGATGTGCTGATGATGACATTCCATGGTCCCATTATGTTCAGGAATATGTAGAGGGGTGATAAAATGAGATATCCCATTGGCTTCAAAAAATTACGAAGCTTTTGAAATTCACCACCATTATCGTATAAAAATGAAATGATGGATTGTTGAAAGAACTTTTCAATAATAAATTTGAATTTTGAAAAAAATAATCAATACTTTAGATTCTTGCTTCGTAGTAAATTAACCATATATACTTTGTAAAATGATCAACAAAAATAAGATAGTAGTTAAATCCATCATGAGATTGTCTTGGTGAAGGGCCTCAAACATCAGAATATGTAAATTCAAGAGGTTAATTATTTTGTGAGAGAGGATGTAGAAAATGTAAGCTTATGCATTTTATTGTATTTGCATGAATTACATGAAAATGGATGACAAGATGATGATGATAAAGGTTAACTACAAGAATGAATAATATGATTTAGAACCTTATAAGACGGATGCCCCAAGTGATTGTGTTATTCTTGAAATGGAGTCTTGATGATGGCCAAAGCAAATATGGATTTGGATGGAGATGGAGATGGTACAACAGTTGGCCACTCATAAACTCCATCCCTATTCAACCCCTCCGTGAGATGTGCCATTGTATTGAAATCCTTAACAACAAATGAAGAGGATAAGAATTCAATAGAAACATTAATAAAAAAAACATAATTTAGAGACGGATTTTAGGTTCATTGTATCAGGAACACAAAGAACAACAAAAAGTAATAAAAGATTTTGAGAAAGGGGGAAGGTTTGTAGAATCAGTATGAGTTACTTCAAGGCCTTTATCATCATCTATTATGATATCATCTGAACCATTATAATATGAATAAAGAGAGATTATTCAAGTTAGACATGACATGATGAGAAGCCTCAGAATCTACAAATTAGTTTGATGAAGGTTAAAATGATTTAACATCAAAGTGAGCACACGACGATGGTAATGAAAATTGAGTAGGTAGTGCAGCCAGATATGTAGAATAAGGTGGGTATGAAAGCTGAAATATTTATGGAATAACAGCTTGCAAGCGACAACATGTCTTAGCAATATGGCTTTGCATGTCACATATTGATAGGTGACTTTGTTGTTGAATTATTGTCCGGATTTGCTGACACTTTTGTTGTAGCATTGTTGCATGTTGCCTTCAAAATGATTGTTTGAACGGTTGTCTTACTGATTGTTGGTTTTACCTTTATTGCTAGAATTAATTTTGTTTGCAAAATTGGCAATGATAGAAGTAGCATCAAAAGGTGGCGACTCTTGTTTAAAATAAGCTTCATAGTTAAAAAACTTATCATGAAGTTCTTCAAAAGATATAGGATTATCACGAGCATGAATCGCAATTGAGATCTCTTTTAAAAGATATTGACTGCTGAGACTAAGGAATTGTTGCAAATAGGAATTTGATATCATTTTAAAAAGTTGGCATGCATTTGCCATCAGTTGTGTCTATATAAAATGTTAGAGTGATACTTGCAAGAACAAAAAGACAAGACTTCAAGGGAGGATTTCAAGCCTTTATTTTCTGAAGCATTCATAGAATCGTAGGTTGTTATCAGTTCCATTGATATTGACTATGGGCTTTCTATAGACATTTGATAAAGAGCTTCAGTATGTCTACTCGTTGGTAAGTTGACTTCTGGATGAATTGCTGTGATCTAGAATTTAATATGGTAGACATGCTGTGTATCATGTTGTTATAATCTGGTTGAGACAAATGATTGTTGGATTGCAATTGTATGATCTGATTAGAGAATACGTGCAGGGATCCTGGCCCCTGGAATTGTAACCTCAACATTGTAAAAAGTTGATTCCTTTTCCAGCATAATTTTATTCAAATGAGATTAATTGAAATTAGTGTTGTCAATTCCATTACCATGCCGACGATGGATATGCCCGTGACACAAAATCAGGGAGAGGGTGGGGCACTGACTTTTGAGCTAGTTATCATGTCTTATTGATACTTGATTCAGGTGATATTAATTCTATACTTGCGGCAACATGACATGATGGTTGGCATATCTATGGACCTTGAAGCTTAAACAAAAAGGGCTGTTTTGCAGAAAAGAATTATTCTTTTGTCTTTGTAATATGAACTTTGTGTCTACCTTGTTTAGTACCACCTAAAGGTTAGGTCTCATTTAGATAAAGATGGAAAGTTTGAACATAGGTAGATGCTGTAGTTCTTGAATTGCATTCCCTAGGTAACATATCAAAATGGAAAAGGTTCAATTCATTGAACAGATGAAAGGTGACATAGGGTAATAAGTCAATTCTTTGATTAACAAGTGATGTGTCAGCAAGCAGTTTTGGATGATTGAGCATACTGAAAGGCATCGAGTCGTGTCATATTTCTGTATATCTTCATACAATAAGTCATGCTTGGACATTTGAGATCCATATCACTGACTGGCTTTTTTAACTTCGTACTAGAAGTCTGCTTGGATAATTTGATGTCTATGCAGACTGACTTTCTTATCTTCATACAAGAAGTCATGCTTGGATGATTTGGCATCCACGTAGGCTAACTGGTTTTCTTAGTTTCTTAAGAAGGCATTTTTCTGTTTTTTTAAGCTCTTTATACAGAGTAAATTTTCATTGTCTTGGTGGTATCTAGTATTTTTCCTTCATTCTTTTGAGTAATCTAATTTCCATTTGTGTAATGACATCCTTTGCAAATACTATACTCTCTATATGGTAACAAAAATCTGATCTCAGGGCTTAGCAAGCGAACTACGTCAGAAGGACTTATGGAAGCATTTTCAAAGTTTGGTCAAATAATTCATGGTATATCGATTGTCTTGTTCTTCCTGTTCACCTTTTTATTTTGAATGAGATTATACCTGCAAGATGCTAATTTTTTGCTTGTTTTTACTTTGCACAGCTAGGGTTGTTACCGACCGTGTTTCAGGGTATTCTAAGGGGTTTGGGTTTGTAAGGTATGCAACACTAGCAGAAGCAGCAGAAGGCATAAAGGGCATGGATGGCAAGGTTGGTTGGCACTTCAAGTTACTTGTCCATTTATATAACTATGTAAGTGCAGTACATCTTAAGACCCAAACAATATCAGATCTCATGACTTGTGCAAGATAAGCTGTTAGTATTCATCAATCGCAAACCGAACAACTTTTCCACCACCACAAACTTCAACTTGTGGACAAATCTACTTTGCTGCAACTTGTATTTGAATATGCTTTTATCTGAAACTCCCATTTGCAAAGGTTTAATTTCAGCTATGTAGTCAATGTTTTAGGAAGTTCACACCCCATCACTAGAATGTTTATCCTACTCTCTCTCTCTCTCTCTCTCTCTCTCTCTCTTTCTCATGCATTTTTCTTTGGGTGCAGTTTCTTGATGGTTGGGTTATTTTTGCCGAGTATGCAAGACCGAGACCACCCCCACCGGGACAGACACCGCCTCCACCACCATCCGAACCACCATATGGTTATCAGTAGAGCTGAAAGTCTTTCATTGCTTGGGTATTCATGGGAGTCTAGAATTCAGTGAAGCAGATACTTGTGACAAATTTTGGTCATTTTGCTCTCTTCCTAGTATTCAGTGATTATTAAGTTTTATAACTACAGTGTTGGAGAAGGAATTAAAACTTGAAAAACATGTTATTTATAAATTTTAGTATATCATGGATCTGCATTTTTGTGCTGACTGGTGTGACTTGAAAAAGTGGAGGAAGAGACTAAGGTATGTATACAATAGGAAGGGCTTGCAAACACTTTACGTGCATAACATTATATATATTGTGAAAAGTAAAATAGAGTATTTTTGATATTTTACTGCCCAATGCTACTCTTCTTAATTATTCCAAATGGTCTAATAGGGAATTATTGATATTTTTTTATATTTGAGGGAAAAAAACAAATATTTTGTGATTAAAAACCTGGAAGTGAGATTATTAATGACAGAAGTAAAGGGAATCGCGTTTCACATCTACCTCATCCGTCTCCGGCATTTTTGTGCCGCTCGTCAAATCCCACCAACCATCACTATAAGGAAGTCAACGATCCGGGCAGGGCACTTTAGTCATTTTGTAGTGGCATTTTCGTCAATGACAGGATCATGCGACGACTCTGACACGCGCCGAGCCGCGGAAATCTACTCCTCGCAGAGGGGTCCGCGAGATCACAGCCCAAAGCGGTAATCTGGACGCCAATCCGCATCTAAACGTCTCGCTCATCCATTTTCCATCAATCACAGCTCGACGCGTAAGAGATAAGTAGTCGTCTCGCAGGGAAATCCGTATCTTCCTTTACTAAACGCACCCGTTTCGTTCACGCGTATCGTAACCCCCACCGCTGCCGCTCCAATAGAAAGCACACAACTGCGCTATTGGTGAGTCGTTTTGTGGGCGGAAGTTTAGGGTCGGCGAGTTTCCAAGTATCCACTTCTTCCTTTGTCGCCGGACATGGTGACGGCGCGAGTCAGATCCGATCCCATCAACTCTCGTATTCATCGTTCTTAATTTGGTCTTCGCTGCTACTTTTCGACTCCATGGAACGCGCCATCTTAGATCTGCAGCAAGCGTCTCGGACTACTCCGCTTCCGATCCCGCGAAGAGGTCAGATCTGCTCCTGCTGCGATATCCCTTTCTTTGATCCTTAGCTTCTTATCATTGCGTACCTTTTGCGGTTCCTTCTGCCTCAATCTTTCGAAGGAATCGAGGGTTTCTTTGAGGGAAATCAGGAATGGATGGAAGGAAGATCGAATGGATTGCTCTCTCGTTTTTTCTTTTTTGGTTCTATTGGTCGTGCTTGATTTCTTTCTTGTCTAAAGTAAGACTCATTTTCTTCTTCTTCGCGTGATAATAGTTTGTGTTCTTTATTTACTTCTAGCTAGGGACAAGCCAAAAAACACAGTTCTTTTGGTTGCCTTTGATCTTTTGTATCAAGTTTGTCAAGATCGCAAACCTTTCGATCTTTTGATGATTGAGTGACGATCTCGAAGTGGGCATTGTTTCTGCCCCTCCATTTCCGTAGAGATAATGCTGCTGGAACACATCGACCCGAGATTCTGCGGTAGCTGTGGTTGCTATTTTCTAATCATCTACTTGACCTTAATGTCATAATAAAATCTTATGATTGCTTGTCTTAAGCTTCTCGAAGTTGACCATGACAAGGTAGTGAGTGATCCAATCCAGAATGATTTCGTCGCCATCCATCATTCAATCTGTATGGATGGGGAAGAGCAGGATGTTGTTTTCCTATTCTAGTTCATGAGATTAAGGCACGATTTACCTTGCAGGCCATTGCATGGAGTGGACAAAACCGTACTGCTAGAATTGGAGGTGTACTGAGGAGATGAAGGATCTATCATCGTGGGGTTTGATTATAGGGGTGACAATAGGTGTGGTGATTGGGGTGCTTCTGGCTGTAGGTGCTCTGTTCTGCATCAGATTCCGGAAGAAGCATGCTCAGATACGGCTCAGCAGCTCAAGGAGGGCATCGACAATTCCCATGCGTGTCAATGGTGTTGATTCTTCTTCAGTGCTCTCGGACTCTACGATGGATCAGGAGTCCCCCAAGCATCCTGAAACTGAAGCAGATGGCTCATCCTTTTGGATTGAGGGAACTAAGAGGAAAAATCTTGTGTCAGTTTCTGGGATTCCCAAATATTTTTACAAGTATGGCCAAGAACGCAACTTTAGCTTCTTCAATGCTTTAACCCAGTTGATGTGTAAATATGCATATCTTGATTTTCCATGCTTCACTAGTATTTATATTCACATAAGGTATGACACATAGTATATGATTTTGTTGCTAGAGCCTATCATGCTATATTCCAAATTTTGGTTGCTGCCTTCAATCTCCCTAGAAGATCTGAAGTTCTTGCAAAAAATCAAATATTTTTCCCACAACACATTGGAGATTCACTCATGTGGCATAAGGCCATTTTGTTTGCGCTCCCATTTTCTGTTTTTCTTGCTTTACTACGCAGTATGAGGAGGGGTTCCTGTAGTATCTAGATTCCTCTTTTGTTTCTTTTTTACTTGTAATGTGAAATAGCTTCTTATTCCTTCTGACAGGGATTTGCAAAAGGCAACTCGTAACTTTACAACATTGATTGGTCAGGGGGCATTTGGTCCTGTTTATAAAGCTCAGATGCCCACTGGTGAGACAGTCGCTGTTAAGGTTCTTGCTACTAATTCTAAGCAAGGGGAGAAGGAATTTCAGACTGAGGTAATTTCCATTATTACTATCCCTATCCTTCTTCGATGGGAATTTCACATAATATGATTGAAAGGTTTTTTTTTTTTCAGGTTCTACTACTTGGGAGATTGCATCACAGAAATCTGGTTAATTTGGTTGGATATTGTGCTGAGAAAGGGCAGCATATATTGATATATGTCTATATGACTAATGGGAGCCTTGCTTCCCATTTGTACAGTATGTTTTCATCTCCACTCAGATGCATGTTACTTGTGTTATTTTTTCTAGAGTACAATGAAGAGCAGTGCATAGTTTTCATGAATTTCATGCCAACTGATAATTTGTTTTTTGTCAAAACCATGTCTTTCATGTTTGTCTTGCTTCTCCTGAAAATTCCTGAAATCCCATGTGATCATGTTCATGTATGGTATAATGTAAGAGTACAGAAGGCAAATGACATCTTGAGTTAGCTATATGTATATCAAGCTCGTCTTTCATCTCTTTAGTGATTGTTTTGTGTGATATATATGCAAGTGCAAAGTCTTTCTGTATCAGCCTCTTTCACGAGCTCTAATCCTGTAAATTCGGATTTTAATCTAGCTTGAGTTGTTTATGTCACTTAAAGTAAAATGAGACTTTTGTATCATTCTCTAATGTAACATTTACCAGATTTGCCAAATATAAGTTTGGAATTTTCTAAAACCATATGAGAATTTTCTAAAACTAAAATGAGAATTTTCTAAAATTGGGTGTTCCTGATCATTCAGCATCAAATTAAAGTTAATAGCTTTCATATTCTATTTTTTCACTTCTAGAAAATTGTTATTAAAAATATATTTTTTTTATTAACTGCAGGTGAAAAGCATGAAGCATTGAGATGGGATTTGAGGGTTAATATAGCTTTAGATGTTGCAAGAGGCTTGGAATATTTACATGATGGTGTAAGAGAACATATAGGATTTTTTAGTGAAATGATGAACAGGTTTATGCTTCTTTTTTATTTTGTAAAATTAATAGACAACTTGTGGTCATTGATCTTGCAGGCTGTCCCACCTATAGTGCATCGCGATATCAAGTCTGCAAACATATTGTTAGACCATTCCATGAGAGCTAGGGTATGTAAAAAATAACTGTTGGAGGACATATATGTTAGAACAAGGGAAAAATTTATAGAATAAGTCTTCTTACTAGCTTTGTAGCTGATGCCATTTACATGGAAACTTCATTGTTGGTTTAATCTTTATGCTTTTGTTTGTAAGATCTTTATGCCATAAATCCTGTGTTACATAATCACTTTTTAAAAAAAATATATTTATGACCTTTATGTTACATTTGGATATTTAATTTGTTTGGGAACTTAAATTCTTTAGAAAAAACGAGAAATTTGTATTGCATTACATTTTATGTAACACTTAGCTGTGTAAATGGTAATCCTATCCAGTCTGTTTAAGGTGCATTCTTTAGGGTGGGCCAACATCTTAGGTACTTATTTCCTAGGTTGACATACTCAGATCTAACTTTTCTATAGAAAATAATCTAATATATTAGCAAGAGGATTTTGATGATAGAATAAGACATGAAGATGTTGTCTCTTGTGATGTCAAATCTTCTGCAATTATCTAAGCATCCATCTAACGATGAAGTTGAAGATGCTTTTCATTGAATATTGACTTATTCAACGTTGGAGATGCTTTTCATTGAATATTGACTTATTCAACATTGAATATTGACTGATTTGTTGCTGTTTTTTTTTTGTACAACATATTCTGTGAAGTTTAAATTCAAAATGGAAAGATATACTTTGTTGATCAGGTTGCTGACTTTGGGCTCTCAAGAGAAGAAATGGTCAGCCACCAGGCATCCAATATCAGAGGAACTTTGGGGTACCTCGATCCTGAGTATGTTTCATCAAGGTCATTTACAAAGAAAAGTGATGTTTATAGCTTTGGAGTTCTGCTTTTTGAGTTGATTGCAGCACGGAATCCACAGCAGGGTCTTATGGAATATGTTGAGCTTGTGAGATCTCTATCCTTGTTTCTGTAATCGAGTATTGCATGACACGCCCCACTTATCTGCAGATAAATGTTAAAAGTAATTTGTTGGAATGTGTGTATTATTGTTATCACAAGCAAGGACCAATTAGCATATAGAGCCTGCTTTTTAAGTAAATACGTTTACAAAAGCTTCTTAATTTGAAGTACTTGTTGGAGGAGCACTTCATGACTAAATTAGGCAATGTTCAATGAGGGTAAATGATTATACATGACTTAGAAACAGGCAACATGTGCATTTTGAAAAGGGAAAAAAAATGGCATATCTAACTAACAAATGCAAATTCAACAAATAATCTTCACACTGCACACACTTCTTTACCGATCTGATATGCTTTTATGCTATGACTAGTTACATATGATCTTGTCTTCTCTTGTTTCTTAATAGATATTTTGCACATTGATGTTTACCATGTGCTTATGATATAGGCTGCAATAAATGCGGAAGGACGAGTGGGATGGGAAGAAATTGCAGATCCCCAGCTAGATGGGGTATTCGACATATCCGAACTTAATGATGTTGCAGCACTTGCATATAAATGCATCAATCGGCTCTCTAAAAAACGACCATCCATGAGAGTAGTAGTCCAAGCACTATCCCAGATTCTAAAAACCAGTCACAGAAAGCACCATAGTAGGAGATGGTTGCCCATCACAGTGGAGGAAGAGTCCTTGGACATAGAACTATCTGAACATCAGAGTTCAGTGTCCGGACATCAGAGAGAGGAGTCCATTGACAGTGTGTCTGATCTGCCTGATGTTTGATACGCTTCATACATTTATTTCATTCCCTTTCCCTTTTGTTTGCTAATTTGTTTGTATTGATAGTTTTGTGAAATATACATGTTAGGTCAAAGAAAACATGGAAAAGTTGTAATTTCAAGAATCATGGCTTAGGGCTTAGTGCCCCATCACTTCTAATTCCCTTTGTAATGTGGGCCTTTTTCTGCATTGGTTGTCAACATGGTGAAATAAAAATTAACGCGGTAACAGTGATGATGGCTATCAAAATATCTCATCAGATGGCGATACACAACTTTCGTTATCAGGTATATCATATCTTTGGTAGCTTTGATCAACTATGAGTTCATAATGCTTAACATGTTCCAACTTTTGAATTCTCAGGAGCTTGTTCTTTGGAAATCACATTTTTGGAGTAGCTAATCAAGGAGATTTTTTTCATTGTGTTTCTTCACTGTATCTAATCAAAGAGATGAAGGTTTGTGCTGTTTCTACATATCAGCATGGGATGTGGGAAACACCTATTTAAGATGCCAATAGCATGTTGGTGTAGTTTGATTCATGCTTTTGCTTTTTAAGCAGATCTTTGTCTTCATTTTGGCTTGAAGATCTGGTAGTGGTTTGTTGCAATTTTCATCAAGTTTAGTCATGCTCTATTATTGATCTCATGTCAATGGAAAAACAGCCTTGAATTGAGATGATGGTAATAATCATTGAAATACCATTTCATAATCCATGTGGCCTTTGAAAGTATTATGATCTTAGAAAAATCAGCTCAGCATCCACTAGATTTCATTCAACTTATGATAGCTGGTTAGTCTGATCAGCATTAGTAGCCCTTTTCTCCAACAAGACTTCTAATGCTTTGACTTGTCTTCACAAAATTTATCCAGCCCAAAGTCTTTGAACAAAAAGAAGAAATTGTTTGTTGCTACAGAGAACCAAAGTCAAGAAACATGTCTCATCTAGACACAAGGCAGAGTATCCTATCAGCATATGATGGAAGCAAATTCTCTTTCAGGAACATGTTTTGGCTTCTGCTTTTCCTACACTAACAATCCTTGTTGTGGCTCTTTTAAAAGCACAAAAAACTGTTGTGGATTGATGTTCACAAGAAGAGCAAGCAGATGGTTGGAGGTCAAGCTGACAATGAATCATGATTGATGCTTCAAAAGCAGACTTTTTGAGTCATTCATCAAACTTAATGACTTCTAGTTTCCAAGTTCTTCAAATTAAAGCTTCCTCAAGGTCTGATACTGTTGTGTTTGGTCCTCACCAGCTTTCAGCACTAACAATTGACTTGATGGTCATTTCATGCAACAAGCCAAGCACCTCTTTGTTATGAGTTGCATTTCAGTTGGTTGTGAAGGATGAAGAGAGACTCTGATTAACACAACAATATTGTCCAAGGAATAATTCATCTGATCTTTGTTATGAGTTGCATGGTCATTCTGAAAGAGTAGTTGAATTGAGGAGTCCTCTTTTGCCCCTGGAAGCCTATCTTGGCCTTTCTTCTGCAATTTGTAACTTAAATATGCCATTTGCTCAAGAAAAAATAGAAGAAAGAATCTCCTCTCAAGTTGTCAGCATGTCAAAACAAGCCCAACCTAACACAGACTGGCTTGGTGTCATGCAAGACAAGAGGAGCATGACTGGAGTGTAAATGTCAAAACTCTTCCAATTCAGTGAACAAGATTGGGTGGCAAAATGCTTTATCTTTACTTAAAATGCAGAAATCCATTCTTTGAAGTTGTTCCTCATATAGTTCCCAACTCAAAAAGTGTCAAACAACATTGGAACTTTCACCTCAGGCCTGAGTACATTTAGAGAAGTTCAACCTACCACAGTTGGGAAGAGGTGGAGCTTCAACTTCTCTTGGCTTAAACTACCTAATCCGACATGGTAGGTGGGTACTACTGCACAAAAGAGAGTATAACATACCATGTGATCACTGGTCTGTTCTCAGAGTGTTCAATGCAGTAAGATCTAGATTTGGTGTTTATTGCATGAAAACCAATGCTTAAGTGTCCAAAAGATATTCCAGGAATTGGAATATCTTTGCAAGCGTAATATGCATGTCGGTCGATAAATGTTGTATTAGTTAACTAGCCTAATAGAAAATGAAAAATGTGTATGGACTATACCGACTTACTCGGTAATGTAAACTATAGGGGTATACCCTGAGGAGCTTGGCTCATACTAGCTTCGATGAACCATCGTCAAACTATGCATTTGATAGCTAAGGAAGAATAGAATCTCTACCAACTAAAACTCTACTATCGGGAGAGGGTTCCAACAATATCAACAAAAAATAATTTGATTTTTTTTTTCGGACTAAGTATCAAAGATTACCTGATCATCATCGGGAGATAATGGAGTGAGCTTGAAAAAAAATTGAGCATGAATTATATTAATCCATAATATAGGAGTATTGAAGTGACTACAATTAAGTCCTTAAGACCTTCTAAGATGAAGTCAGTAATCTTTTGTGTCATTTCATGCATTTTCCACATATCATTCCATTAAGTTCATTCCGCTTAGAGCAACTATGCCGTCTTCTCTCTCTCTCTCTCTCTCTCTCTCTATCTATCTATCTATCTCTTTCTATATATATATGAATTGTTCTGAACGCATCATCTCCTCACCACCATGCATCTGCCTCTCATCCTTGAGCTCAGTACTGCCCTACTGTCCATTCTCCTCGTCTTCTTCTTCCGTTCGTCCAACATCTTCTTCAAACTGCCTGCCAATCTGAGCTTTCAAGTGCCTGTCAACCTCACTTCAGACTACGGCAGGATAATCCATGGCTCCCCAGCTGCGGTCCTCAAGCCAAGCAGCCCAGATGACATCTCCCTTCTCCTCAAGTCCATCTACTCCTCTCCACTCCACAACGACGTAACAGTAGCTGCCAGAGGCACCGGCCACTCGACGCACGGCCAAGCGCTGGCCCCCGGCGGTTTTGTCATCGACATGCGGAGCCTGCCACTCTCCATCACGATCGTCGACGGCGATGGCACCTCCTACGTCGATGCCGGAGGGGGAGCCTTGTGGATTGATGTGCTGAACGAGACCTTGAGGCATGGCCTTTCACCGAGATCGTGGACGGATTACTTGTACCTCACCGTGGGCGGAACTCTCTCGGTCGGCGGTATCAGTGGCCAAACATTCAAGCAAGGGCCTCAGATATCCAATGTCGTGGAAATGGACGTCGTCACAGGTTAACCAGCTTGTGCTTCACGTCGTGCACTCGAGAAGACTCGTCTCCATCTCTGTTGTATGTTTCCAGGTAAAGGCGAGATCGTCCAGTGCTCTGAGCAGGAGAACTCAGACCTCTTCCATGGAGTTCTGGGCGGGCTTGGGCAGCTGGGCATCATAACAAGAGCCAGGATCAAGTTACGGCCTGCTCCTCCAATGGTACACCCCGGTCCGCCTCCTCTTACTACTACTTGCTGCACAGAGCTGAGTCTCCGGTCTCCGCCACCATGACTGTGAAGGTGGCATGGATCAGAGTAAAGCACCACGACTTCGACCAGTTCACGAGGCACGGAGAACTCGTGGTCAACTCGGGGGAGGTGGACTACCTCGAGGGGTTCATCAAGTTCGGTGACGCACCTCAATCTCACCAGCCCAAAAACGCCTTCTCGCGCTTCGGTGCGGAGAGATGCGTCAAACCGAGACAGCCGACAGCGTACTACCTGCTCGAGATGGCCATTTACTATGATGATGATGATGTTAGCGACGCCGCGAAGGTACGTACTCTGCTTTGCCTCACGTTGGATTGCATCAACCACAAGATCTAACTCTGTTGGTGACTGCATCAGAAACGGGCGAAGGTGTTGGCCCGAGTAAGCTCCATGACGTCCGTGGAGATCCTCGAGGTCTCGTACTTGGACTTCCTGAACCGCGTTAGGGAAGAGGAGCTTAGCCTAAGGAGAATGGGGCTGTGGGATGTGCCTCACCCATGGATGAACCTGTTCGTGCCGAGGTCTCAGATCCGGAGGTTCCACGATCTCTTCCTTCGAACCATGTCAGACTCCTGTGTTAATGGTCCCATCATCATGTATCCCACACTGAGACACCAGTACTCTCTCTCTCTCTCTCTCTCTCTATCTATCTATCTCTGTCTGTCTCTCTCTAAAGGATGATATGTTTCAGATGGAATCTCAACACGTCGATCGTCGTACCGCAAGATGAGGCAGGAGAGGATGTGTTCTACGTGGTTAGTGTGCTCCGAGCGGCGCCGCCGATATGCACCGTTGGATCTTCGTGCCTCGATGGTCTCATGCAGCAAAATGAACAGATGATACGCATGGCCACCGCGAGAGGGAGCTCCCATGGGGGTGGGGGGATGGGAGCGAAGCAGTACATGCCGTACCTGCGATGTGAGGAGGAGTGGAGGGAGCATTTTGGCCAGAAGTGGAAGAGGTTCGAGGAGTTGAAGTCCAAGTTCGATCCTTTGAACGTGTTGGCGCCCGGACAGAGGATCTTTAAGAGGAGGAAGCCGCTGAAAGCTTCTGCTGAAGCAGGAGAGCTGTAGTCACCATTTCTACCGTCCAAGCAACCATCCGATCTGACCGTGTTGTTGTTGTTCTTATTTGGACGCGAATAATTGAATGAAAGTTGACTTGCGATGGATGGGTTGACCTTGTAGCAGGAGAAAGATCCTGTCATGTCGACTCCACGATCTTAATTTCGAGACTTCTTCGCCCACAACCCCTCCAATTCGATCGCAAACATCTCTCCCGCATCAGAAGCAGGCATGCACGAATGATAAGACCTCGCAGCCATCACAATCACAAACCACTAAAGAAATCTCGATCAAATAGATGTAAGCCTTCCGAGATTTGACGATCGAATAAAGAAAGATAGGGAGGAATGCGACAGCCACGAAGTCTCCCGGTGGGATCCCTTCTCTTAGAATATAATCATTCCAAATCGCATCTCTTAGCCCAACAGCATCCAAGAGAAAATCTAGTTCTTGCTGGTAAGTAAGGTCGAGGCCATGGCGGCGGCAGAGCAACCACAGGAGGTGAAGTCGAAGGTGGCGAAGGTGGATTCAGAGGAGTCATGGGATCTCTTCACCACCCAAGCCGACGACCGAGGGTGCCCAGTGAGCATCTCCCATCCTCCCTCCTTGAATCACTTGATCGAGTGCATCGCTAGGCTTTGACTTCGATCCATATTCATAAAGAACATGATCAAGGTCTTCTAGTTTTCATTGGGTGAAACTTCCGCAGGTGTTTGTCCACTTTGGTGCTTCATGGTGTGTCCCATCCCTTGCCATGAACACTTGTTTCGAGGAACTGGCGAATTCTCATCAGGACATCCTGTTCCTCTTGGTCGATGTTGATGAAGCCAAGGTAGTCTTTCTTCTTTCTTGGATTCTTATTCCTCTCTCTCTCTCTCTCTCTCTCTCTCTCTCTCTCTCAGTGAGATGATGATGATGATGATATGAGACAGGGGGTTGCTTCGAGGATGGAGGTGAAGGCAATGCCTACTTTCGTCCTGATGAAACATGGCACGGTGTTGAGTAAGATGGTTGGGGCAAATCCGGAGGAGATGAGGAAGATGGTACAATGTTACGTGCAATCCATTTGTCCTGCAACCACCAGTGAATAATTTGGCAGCAGTCAAACACAACGAAGAAGAATAAATCAAGTGTGGATCATCATGTTTATCTATTTTCTTGTTCTAAACTATAATGTTAATCTGGCTTGATCATCAAAAGCCCATAAAAAATATCTGAACAAATAAAAAGAAGATATTATCAATCCTACATATATGTGGATACATTCAACATCCATTGATATAGATTTAGAGGAACCATCTAAAAATCTTTCATGAGTCTCATTGAGCATTCCATATACTAATTCTTTTGCAACACAAAATGGGAGGAGCCCAAAAGACTGCAAATATAATACATTGGAAACTACACTATAATGCAGAAGAATCAAGATGTGGAATCCGTAATATACTTCTACAATGTTGGATACATCCAGGGTGGACGCAACGGGAGCTTGTCCACTCATCCGTGCTAGCAAGGCTACCAGCAAACTTCACGATCGAGGAGCAAGACTGAAAAGAAAACAAAGAGAGGAGGACTGTACTCTTTTTTATATTTATCGTGACAAATATATAGCTATGCACAACTCAAGCGAAAAACACATACCTTAAATTACGGTTGAGGAGCCGTAAGCACTTTGTATCTTTATGAGACTGTGTCCCAGCGCCATATCGAGCCATCCTCACAACAGGTAAGTATGGTGCTGCACGATTAAAATGAAAATTTTATGGTCTTAACAAGCTCTGGAGCAAAGATGAGAGAACCTACAGAAGTTAGATGAGATTCTCTATAATATTGTTTAGAGAATTTTTGCAAACATGATTACACAATGTGAGTTTGAGCTTCCTACCTTCCATCAAAGGACATCGCTGTCTGTCTTATTGGAGACTTGCATTGAGCGTGAGATAACCTACGTCAGGAAACTCGGTCAGAAAAGCCACTATATGTTACAAACATGATATATGCCAATAATGACATAACAAATAGCATCACAAAAATAATTATTGACTATGGTAACCTTGCAATGAGAACAGGTGGGCTGGACTGAAGCTCCCAAATAAAAATCTTCCCTTCCCTATTCCCTATTAGAAGCAGCTGGAATTAGATAGATCAGAAAAAAAAATCCCTGGGGCTCAACCTTAATTAAAGCCCAAAAGTCATTGGTAAGATACATGAGCTTCCGATAGCCAGAAATATCATTTGTAAGTTGTAACACACAATTTAGTCAATCCATACATAGAACAATTTTATATTTGTTTCTTTATGCCTTAGTAGTGCCCTTAGAGATGAGCATAGATCCCTCCAGCAAAACAGTACCAGCCTCTCAGTCTAAAATCTTACGAATCTCAAGGAATACTCGAGGGTTGGGCTAATCTTTGGTAGCATAAGTCTTAACCTGCAACCATGATCATATTTGAATATCGCATGGAAACTTCGGAAGATCATTAAGTTTCAGTTTTCCTTGGTGTCTAGGATTTTGATTGGAACTTGTTAGATGGAGGCGACCAAGTCTCAGGTTCTTTGGGAGCAAGTGGCTCTTTGCTGGTTAAATTGACCCTAATGGGCAAATTGACTATTGGGGCCTCATTTGCTTTAAAACCTCCTCCATCCCCTCTTTCACTCACTCTCACTGAGCCTCTCACTCTCTCATCTTTATAACCTAGAAATCATGTTCATTTATGCCTCGTATACATTCTATTCTTATTTAAATACAAATTTACATTAAATAAGGGAAAAAATTTTCTTTTTCTGGAAATGGGTTACATATGGTATGCCGGTACCGACCAGTATGTGCCGGTTCGCCCATGGACTGATATGAGCACAGTATGGCAGTTGATGGAATGAACAATGTACAATCTCCTCCAATATTATGTACTTCATTCACATAAAAAAGAATGAATTTGGAGAACTCAATCTCGTTATACAGGTAAGCAAAAACTTAGTGCACTTGAACAATATCAGTGATTGACATTAACCTAAATGTTCATCAGAAAAGGTTTTTCAATTCTGAGAAATTTGAAACCAAGCATAGGTGTATGAGTGCATAGGTTGCCCCCATGAGCTAAGACACAAGATACAGTGCATGAAGTTGTCACTTGCACTATGTTGAATTTAAACTCTTATGACATGTATGATGTAAGATGAAAGGGATTACCAATTGCTGCAGCATTGTAGTGAAAATCACATGAAAATTTGATGAACCAGATATCACATTCAGGAACTGGATATTTTTGAAGAATGTCAACAGCACCCTGAGCAGTATATTTAGTAAAGAAAAATTAGATGTGTATAACAATAGTGGAAGTGAAAGTATGTCCAGTTCTCAGTTTAGAAGGACAGGTATATGGTGCATAAGTATTGTAGAAAAGCAAGTGCCTATGTATAACAGCAAAACACACAAAATCTTACCTCTCCAGGATTTTGTTCCTTGGTTTTTGGCTCCCACAAGACAATCTCATTGTCAACACTCTGCAACATTTGAGTAGCAAGCATTAGTGGACATCAAAGCAGCTTACATCATTTTCTGCTTGCCGGTTCAGCAGAAATCATATTGTGCCACCGGTGATGAATCATGGTGGCAGCAACAAGTTCGGCTCTAAATGGAAGTCAAATTGCAAAACATGCTTAGTTTCTGGAAGATGTCCAAGCAACATGTAACAAAAATTATACTACAAATTACAAAGTATTGTGCATGTTAAATAACTATGTATAGCTTGTTTTTTACCTAATGCACATCAAAGTTTCCATAAGTAAATTATGTTAAAGTAGAATCAGTATAATAAATCTTTTACAGCATGCAATCTAACAATAGATCTCCTTGGTGAAAAAAGTAAATGTCAGGGAAGCTCATTAGAATCAATTATGCCAGTTTAATGCAAGATTTTAAATAGTGACCGGTATGTATGGACCATTGTTTATCGATCTGATCAAGTACCAATATCGAAACATATAGAGTTTATTTTAAATTTTATTTATTTTATTCAAGGATACCGAGCTGTAAATATTAGTATATTGATATTGTTATGGTCCAATAGGTTACTGAAGCTAGTACCAGACCATTCATTATCTAAAACCTTGGTTGGATGTTCCAACAAGTCATCTTTACATGTAAATATATTTATAGAATTTTCTTCTACAACCAAAGCATAAGTAAACTACATGATCCTGAACCTGTACTCCATATATAATGTAGTAAACCAAAAGGTATGAAATAAAAGAAATATTTTCATATAAAACAATAATCAGGGTACCGGAGTTACTACAGTTGATTATTAAGCTATTACTAGCCTTTCTGTGGAACCTAGGGAAGAATGACCAAATCCCACCAAGTCCAAGGTTGAGGCATATGAGAGACAGTAGTTGCCAAGAAGATGAGATATGCAACAAATCACCTTCGACAAGACAAAATCACCAAGCCACCTAGTACAGTCGACGTAGTTAGAGTGGACTGAGGCTATAAACACCTGAGATGGTAGAAGTCAAAAATCTGAAGCACATAGGAATAACAAAACTACCTACAGTTATTCTTTTAGTTGGTGATAAATGTACTGAAGATTTTGATGCTCACAGGAAACTGCACATATTTTGTAGGAAATTTTGATGGTAAATCTGTCCATGTGAATGATTTCTCAACATACGTCCAAAACTCTGCAAAAGATAGCTGATTTTGGATAAAAATTACTCCCTGTAGCAAAACAAAGAAAGTTCAAACATGGTAACTTCCACACCTTTCATGGACCAGATCTTGACAGTATTATCCATACCACAACTTGCTATCCGGTAGATATCGGATGGATGGAAGTCCTACAGATACAAGGTTACTAACATATTTTGATGAGTATAATTTTTGATCTATTTTACGGGCCTAATCATAATTTATGAAAGAACACTAAAAAGCAGGAAAGAAGAAATTGGCACTTCACTGCACTTACAACACTCAACACTTCATTCCTGTGGCCACCTGCTCCGGCAAATATCAATATACAAATTCCTGTATGTAAATTCCACAGCCGAACTGATTCATCCTGTTTATGAATATTCATTTATCATCAGTGTGATCGGCATAATGCAATTAAAGAGATAAAAACATCATAAATCTACCTTGCTGGCAGAAACCACAAGAGAAGGTTTCAGTGCTTGAGTCCTTACTTCATTAACCGAATCTCCATGGCCAACAAAACTCTGTGGGATTCTCACATCACAGAAACATTAATGCATCTAATACTAAGGATATACCCAAGTAATACTAAGTTTCACACTTATGACATGGAATATCAGAAGGAATGTGAATCTGATCTTCAATGAGTTTGAGCAAAATTTTCTTTTCCAAAAAGACCCAAACATGGAGAAATTCTTGGATCATGTACGGTTTACAATAAGAAAGAAAAAAAAGTAGGGTGACATTTTCCCTCAATTGGCATCTTTTATGCAAATTATTGGGATAAAAGATATTACACCCACCTTGTGTATCTTCTCGGTGCCAGCATTGATGACACGAATGATTCCGTTGCTTCCACCAGCAACCAAAAAAGGAGTCCCATCGGTATCACATGCCCAACTCAAAGTATAGAAAGACTCGTCCTTCTGAATGACAACAAACATTCATGTCGTCAGAATATAATCAATTATCAGAGCTTCCTATTGTCAGACAAATCCAAAATTTGGCATGTTTACAATGTATGTTGCTCTCTACAACCCATCAACTTGATTAAAGAAAAAAAAAGCAACAATTTGTTACTCTAAATATGATTTTTACGATGGCAACAGGTGGATATCTTAAACAAGCAAAGAGTCCCTCCGTTTTATGCTGCATTTAACCGCGTCAAAATTGCTTTTGACAGTTAGAATAACGGACGTTTATCACCCCAGCAAAAGATTCAGATAAACATACATCTTCATCAACGTATGCTTGCAAGACCGCAACGAGACCTCCTTCAAGGCATCGATACACGGTCACCTGTGAAGAACAATGCAATCTTTAGTATCGCCGCTTTTTCATGTTCCCAATATCAACCACACAACAAACTGTTATTACACACTCCAGTGCAAATCCAAGAATAGATAGGCAGCGAAGGTAAAGGCGATGAAAAGAAAGGGGCAGGGTAGGACAGGAACTGACTCGATTGCCGCCGACGGTGGCGAAGATGTCGTAGTAGCGAGCGTCGATGAAGTTGAAGGCGATGGCATAGAGGGGCCGCTTCCCCTCGTGCACGCGGTTGCTGACCTTGTACTCCCTCTTCCTCGCCGCCGTCAGCGACCCCACCGCCGGCTCGCACCCCAGCCCGCTCTTCGCCATCCCTGCCTTCGCTCTCTCTCTCTCTCCGATGGGCGGGTTGGGCCAGTCTTAACGCGAACCCTAACACGGCCCGCCCGTTGACCAGACTAATAGGTCGACAAATTATCTTTTTATTGAATTATTTTATATTAGACTGATTTAATATATATATTTTTTTTATATATCATCATTTCTTCTTTTATTCAAAACTATTACTTTTATTAAATTTGATATTTCTTAAAATTTAAAATACTTTGATGAGATATTATATATATTTTCTTTTAAAATATTTTTTAATATATTTTAAAAAAAAATATTTATTGCATATACTGTTCTAACCTTTGGCCCACACTAATGACGAAGATTAAATCAATAATGCATGAGCAATCACTCAATAATTCAAATAATATATTCTCAAAATATTTATAAAAAAATTATAATATTTTTATTTTTGAATCTTTACTAATTTAAGCATCAGATAAATCATATCGAGTATGTCTATAAGATCGTAAGTTGAATCTCTCACAAGACTTATGTCAAGCTCAAAAACCTGACTTAAATTGAATCCAAATCGATAATCAAAATAGTTAACTCACTTGAATTATCATTCTTTGGACATCCAAGTGAAATCGATGTTAAAATAATTATGTATTAGTTGCATCTCTGCACATCTTCTTGTTCATTCATCTCGAACCAAATCCGGAGCCAAAAACCAAAAAAGTCAACCTTTGAGTTCCATCACAACGTCGATCCTTCATTCCAAGCACAGGTCGACTGCCGGAGCTCCGCCTGATCCCTGCGTGTAAACAACCGGTGCGTGACCCTTCCCCAAAGCCAAGCCCGTATTGTTACCTTCTTCCTCCCTCCTTCTCGGTCTCTTCCTGTGACAAAACGATCTGACCTCGTAAATGCGACAGCATCTTTGAAGCTTCGTTTTGTCGATACCCACCCTGCTTTTCTTACTGGGATTGGATGCTCCGATACGTGGCCGGATCCGAATTCAAGGCTGCAGAGACATCAAGATCCGGATTCGGATGTACGTTTGATCTTATCGGATCAAATTAATGTATAAGATCCGACCCCGTAATAGCGACGGTCAACATCATTGTACGTGCGCCTTGGTCGGCACATCGCCACCTTCGTCGAACCCTCTCTTCCTTTCTGCGTGATCCCACTCGATTTCCTCGAAGGAACTGCGCCGGTTCCAGCCGATGCCCTGCCTTTATTTGAACCCCCGTCTTTCCATTCCATCTCTATCTGCCATCGACTGACCTCTTCCTAGTTGGTTTGCTACGACGTCGGATAGTCATGGCGCGGCGGCCGGTGGAGTTCGAGGACTTCCTCCCCCTCATGGCGGACAAGCTCGGCGAGGATGGCCTCATGGAGGAGCTCTGTAATGGCTTTCGCCTCCTCATGGACCCTCGCCGCCGGCTCATCACCTTCGACAGCCTCAAGCGCAACGCCGGCCTGCTGGGTCTCGATGGCCTCCGGGACGACGAGCTCCGGGCGATGCTCCGGGAGGGCGACACCGACGGCGACGGCGCGCTTAACCAGTGGGAGTTCTGCGTCCTCATGGTCCGCCTCAGCCCCCAGCTGATGGAGGCGCCCCGCCGGTGGATGGACCAGACATCCGGAGAGGCCTTCGGCCCTGGATTCATGAGCTAAGCCCGATTCCTCTTCCTCCTCCGCCGCCTTCGCCTCCTCAGATATTTTGCTCCTCTCTTTTCAGATTCTCTGTTCTTATCCAGAACCGAGCCTTCATTTGGGCAGTGGTGGGATTAGCCAGTGTTTGATGGGCTGATACGAATTGATTGGATTTCGATGTTCATGTGCTAATGTAATTGAAACTTGAAATTTCAACAGTAAATGAAGCTTCTTGGATAACAAATTGCTCTTCTTCTTGCTAAAGATTTGATTTTTGGCATATCTGGTCATCTGTTTTCTGGATCTCTTTCTTGACAGGGAAGATGTGAGTTTGATGACTGTTATTGATATCAGTACTAGTGTGTGCTTGGATTTGGGAATGATTTCCATAGATTAAGCCATAGGATTAAGGGAAACCTTATCAGGAGTTCTTTGTCTCAGGAAGAATCTGACATTGAACCACAAATTCTTTCACTGACTGCTACTAGTTCATATTGTTTACTTGATGGAAACTTGATCTCTGAGAACTGCAAATTAATTTGATTTCTAATTTGTGGTTTCTCTCCATTAGTTCTAACAGCTTTAGAAGAATGGCTTTGTTGATCCTTAGATAGCTTTTTCAATAGAACTCAACTTGATTAGGATGCACAAATGAATGACTCACAAAATTGGTGATTTGGAATCACTTCAATATGGTTAATAGCTAAATATTCAATTTGGTAGCTAAAAGATGTAAATGTTCCTTATCTTATTTCTTCTTTAATGTTGAATTTAATTCCTTTTGTAGATGTAATGAGCATATTGTTATTGTACATTTCTTTCTTCCCGCCTAGGTAATTTTCTTTTACTCTAGGTACTCGTCGTCGGTTGGGATAAGAGGATTTTGTTAATAAAGAAAATCTTGTGATAGATAATACATGTCAATCAGAAAGTAAAGTTTGGAAAAATAATGTTGTCAGATCATAGTGTATCATTTGAAGACTTCCATATTAGCATCTTCATGTTTTGTCATCCGGTTAATTTCTGTTCTCTACACTTCATTGAATCATATAACTTGTACTCTGGAGTCTGGACCATCACCACTTCACTTGTGAGAAAAAAGAGACTAAGAGAGGAAAAAGAAATTATTAATTTCCAAGTAATGACACCAGGAATTGTCTTGAAGTGGTTTATGATGGAAAGAATAAAAGGCAGAGTCAACAGAGCAACAAATCACAAGTCTAAAACCCTATTAATGTACAAACACTCTGCTATGGGATGATAGGCTAATCCAAACCATCTCATCTGCCAGTATATATCCATCATTTCCAAGTGCTTGTAATTCCTTCAATGTAGGCAAGTTCTGGAAATTTGAATGATAGGTTAAAGGTTCTATCGTCCCGTAACCAAAGTGATGGAATTATTAGCAGAAAGAAGTCTGAGATCATATGGTGATGATTCAGTATCATGAGGACTTCTTTCTGCTGTAAAAGTGGGCTGCCTTGGCTGTGAATTAGCATCGGTTCCACTCTCCAACATTATAATTACTGATGACATTGATGGTCTATCGTTTGCGTGATTCTGCACACACAAGAGACCCACATTCACGCATGTTGATGCTTGTTTCTGTGAGCATGAATCTCTTATGGCTGGATCCACAAACTCCATCACATTGTCCGCATTCCACAACCTCCAAGCCTGCAAAAATTTCTAGGTATAAGCAAATGTAATTACAGAAAAAATATTCTCTATACTTTCACAAGTTAAATAGCAAAGGTTAGCGATTGCTTTACTTACATATCCTAAGAGGCTAACAGAAGATTCTTGGTGTGTGAAAATGCTGTTTTTTCTTCCACTAACGATCTCTAGGAGTAGCACACCGAAACTATAAACATCAGATTTTATGGAGAAGATTCCTTGCATTGCATATTCTGGAGACATGTAACCACTGTGTTTCACCAAAAAAAACGAACAAAAGGTGTGAAAAGTTTGGAGTTTTTGTGTTGACCTCTTCTAATGCAGAGTAATTTTCTTAGTTCCTTCCAAGCTAATGAAGAATGTAGTACTTACTATGTTCCCACCACTCTTTTAGTGTTGGACTCATTGTCATCACTTCCAAAAATCCGTGCCATGCCAAAATCTGATATCTTTGGATTCATGTCCTTGTCCAACAGTATGTTGGCAGCCTTCAGATCACGGTGTATAATTCGTAATCTTGAATCCCTGTGAAGGTAGAGAAGGCCTCGAGCAATTCCTTCTATGATGTTATACCTAGTCTTCCAGTCTAGCAGCCCTTTTTTCTGTGGATCTGTCCGAATCATTATAAGATCAGAGTCAAGTCGCAAGATAAATTATCAAGAGAAAATGCAGCAGTAGCATTACCGAATAGGAAGGTGTTCAAGCTTCTATTAGGCATGTATTCATAGACAAGTATCTTCTCCTCTCCATGAATGCAGCAACCCAAGAGTCTAACCAGGTTCCTATGTTGTAATCTTGCTATTAGGATAAGTTCATTCTTGAATTCGGTGTGGCCTTGCCCTGAGCCCCTCGATAGTCTTTTTACGGCAACTTCTTGGCCTCCAGGTAATGTACCCTGTAGTAACCAGATCAATCAAAGTGGCATTATGTTCCACTTTCTCTAACATGAACTTTTAGCTACTAAACAAAACGAGAAAATAGGCAGACAAGTAATGCTTGGTTTAGTTCATATTCAGATAATTCACCATCTGAAAGTCAAGAGAGCTATACCACTCAATGAAACAAAACCAGAAAGAAGAATAATCAAATGATCAGATAATATGGCATCCTAATTTCATGATATATTTTGAAATGGTGTTTCCTGAAAGATTATTAGTAATGTGCTCTTGTTCAGGCCTCTTATGTTTCAGAGGGTAGAAAGATTATTATTAACTAAGATTAAGATGGAGATTAAGAAATTTGCTGGAGACAAGATTGCTTAAATCCTGTTTGTTTGAACATATTTGTATATCCGGTATTCTGTGGTACTTCAATCATCAAGGTGGGCTTTTTATCTCTGTTTTCAGGTAAATCTGGGAGAATGAATCTTGGTGGCTGAAAGAAGGAATTGCGTGATCTGAAAGAGTCTTCAAGATGCTTGGGATTTATGGCCTGCAGTCTTCATGTGGATTATGTGGAAAGAGAAAAATTTTCAAGAAATTTTGCTGAAAAACATCTTTCTATTCCTATGCTGCAGGAGACTATCAAAGTATAATTGCTCATCACGGACAGCAGCTGCGAGTCCAGAGAGAAAGCTGAAGCTGATCTTTTTTGTTTCATGATGGCAACGCTGCAAATCCGATCAGCATCAACAGGGCAACCGATAATGGAGTTCTAAGGCTGAATTTTCTTGTTTGTTTCTTTAATGTTAGGATGCTCTTGTAGTGATATTTCTCTATGATGGCATTTGTTCTGTTGAACCATCTGTTCTTAATTTTCTATTCCTTACTGTACAAATCGAGATACAATCTGTTCTTGTGCTCATTTTGTCAAGCATTTTCTTTTGAATTCTCTTTCATTTTGTTTCCTTATTGTAAATAGAATCAGGTGATTGTTGTTACTCTTCTCTTTAAGGAGTGTTTTATGTGATCCATGCAGAGAAGTCAGGCATATTTACCCATGTCTGTCTGGATTAAATACCTCCTGCTTGTCCCTCTAACTCTAGCTTTTGACTGTTCTTTACCTTTCTTGATTCTTAGTGACATTCAATGAGCTAATTCGCAAAAGCTAATGGAAGATGATCGAGTGTTTACCTTGTAAACAGGACCGAATCCACCTTCACCAATCAGGTTTTCATTAGAGAAGCCGGATGTTGAAGCAGTAATCGATTCGAAACTGATCGACGGCAGTTCTTGGCATTGTTGATCCTCTGCACCTTCAATTAGATCTTCATCTCTGTTCGGATTCACCGGCAAAATTCTTTGGCCTCTTCGTCGTATGATGAACACTGCGAGGTTTGAAAGGCTATAATTAGTGGAGAATTAGCAGACGAAAGCTCTTGCAGAATGCAAACCTTCTACCTCGCAATCTTTTCTTGCACTTCCAGGCCAGGTAGATGCATCCAAATGCCAGGACCAATGCCGAAACGAGTATGGCTATCACATGACCTGATGTCTTCGTCTCGGTCTCTGCAAAGAACATTAGGCAATTACGATATGTAACATGAGATGGATTCTATGGTTGTATGCAGCTGAAGCCATAGATCTGCACCGAGAAAGAAATATGTACTTCTGATCCATGAACGAGAACAAATGATCAAGAAAGAGCAATCACTCACCCAGCTCTGATCCGGCAAGCCGGAGGTACATGTCATTGCCGTCGCTGGAGAAGACATGTATGTCCACCAGATCCACACCCCACACCAAGCATCCGATCCCGCCCACGAACGCATAGGCCTTGCAGGAGCAATTCATCGAACAGGTGGCTCGGCATCCGTCTTCGTCCCCGATGTCCGAGTACCAGTCCGACAAGTCCGGCAGCTTCACCCGCTCCATCTTCCAGAACCCGTCGGCCTCCACGCTCCCTCCGTCGCTGCTGTTTCTCTCGCACTGCAGTCGCGTTCTCCTCACGCACCCACGAGTCCAGTTGCTGCGGTTCCACTCGTCCTCCACGGCCGGCACGTACCCCTTCAAACAGGAGCATGTCGAGGTGTTCTCGTCGGTGCAGCTCCCGTAGCTCCCGCACCTGTTGTAGAGCTCGCAGGCCGTGCTCGGCTGCGCCCAATCGCTGTGCCAGAACTTGGTGTCGCCCTTCCATATCGTGTGCTCCTCGATGCCGTCCCAGGTAAGCACCCACCGCTGGGAGTTGTTGGAGACGGTGAAGTAGTAGTACATCTTCTGCTCGTCCTCGAGGTTGCTCAGCTTGAACCCGTATATGTACGTGGGCACCATGTTCTGGATTCCGATGAAGACCTGCCCGTTCCACCGCCCGGACCTCCACCGCGGTTTGGTGCCCTCCCACACGAAGATCTGGGTCGACCTCTTGGGGTCCATGCCCATGGAGTAGCTCCCCACCCCGGGGTCGTCTTTGCTCTTCCACGACCGGAAGACCTGGTTCACGTTGGTGTCGAGGTCGAGGCCGACCTTCATGCCGGGCAGGTACGTGTCGGTAGGGTTGTCGAAGCTCTGCCACGCAACGTCGCCGGAGTTGTTGAGCACGAGGTTGCCGGTGTCCAGCAACTGCACCGTCGATTGGTTCGACTTCAAGGACACGTTCGACGACCACACGATGGTACAGCCATCCTGCAGGACCACGAGGTTGCCGTCGCTTCCGATGGCGAGGCGGCCAGAGGCGTCGGCGACCGGCGCGTCGCGGTTGGCGACCCAGAGGACGGTGTCGGTGGAGAAGCTGTGGTACCATATTCCGACGTACCGGTTCTTGGAACTTCCGGGGCTGAAGAAGCCGAGCTCGAAGATCTCACCGGCAGAGATCAGCCTCTCACCGTCGTTAATGGACTGACCTACTTCGAGGCAGTCCTTAGCATGAGAGAGAGAAGCCATTGCAATGAGCAGAGAGAGGAGGAAAACAAAACCCATGAACTGATAAGCCATCTCAGGGACTCAACATGAACCTGTGAAGTGCTGTCTGTTCTATGCCACCATCAGGCACTTCTCCGACGTCCAAGGATTTGGTTTCATACTACTAAATACTAATAGGTGGAGTTGTTGACTATTTCACAGTGAGAGAAAGTGTCAAGGGTCCACCAAGTCTGCAGCTTGAACATCAACTGTCGCCTGACTTCATTTACTCCGGATGCCACACGGTGGCGGTGGTCAAAGCGGTCCGGCACGGCAGCCGACGAGTTTGAAGAAGGAGAGCGAAGACCTACATCGATATGGCTTAGAGGTTTGGAGGTCATAGCTTCTACCACATGGGTGACGTACGACAGCAAATCTTCCCGAAGATTTAGAACTCAAAGTCAGCTCCTGGCTTAGAGCTCTGCCGTTCCACTTCGGGTTTGGGGATATGTATTCACTGCATGATCAAGCCATTACAGTCAACAGTGATTCGACATGATACGTTGACATTCCGTAGTTCACGTTATCGGTCTCAAGAAAGGTTTGACCACCAACAGGCACTGTAGAAAGTTTACCCACAACTCGAGCTGACTTGGGTAAGGTTAGGTTGACGGATGCAGGTGAGGATGGGACACCGGCGCTGGCGGCGGGAACAGCAGAAAGAGATGCAACGAAACAGAGCCATGCACACATCTTATTCCCTGCAATCCACCACCAGGTGTTCCTCCCTCTTGTTCTTCCCAACTTGTCCGAAGACATGATGACCTTTACTTTAAGGCCAAGCATATCTTCACGTTCGGGAGCAGCGGCCCATCCCTTGCCCCACAGCCATGTCGAGAGGAGGGACGGCCGCAGGACGACACGTGTGGCAGGATCGGATCCGGAGGGTGCGGATCTTCAACCCGCCCTCCGGTTCGTGGCTGGCGATGCCTCTCCGCCTCCACGACAAACGCCCACCGTGCGTTTCCGTCGACCAACCACCGCCACAAGTAATTACAAAAGATAAGCCGGTGAGCGCACCCCACCTCGCACAAAAATCTCGGGACGTCCACGTGGACAGATCACGTGGGCATTGAGCGTGACAATGTGAAATGCGAATGGAGGATGGAGTGGGGCCCGGTCGCAGGGGGGGGTGTGAGGCTTCAAGGTGAGTGTTCACGTGGACCGATGCGGCGGTGGTGGTGGAAGCGGAGCCACGTAGGAATCCAGGAATCTCGCCCATCGCATCGACGCCACGTGGAGGAGCGCAGGGATTCGTGCGGGGGGAAAATATCTACATTAAACGGGTGGGGTGCCGACGTGGGAGTACGGAACGACGTGATTGGCCGCGTCGGCGGGGAACACGAAGAGCTCCGAGGCGGCTACTGGTGGAGGGTAAGATCGTAATGACCATATTACCCCCGTGCGTCTCCCTAGAAGGTGCCTCCCGGTGAAGGTACCGCTGTTTCTATTGGTGAAACAGATGATGAATAATTGGGAATTATATATATATATATATGTATGTGTGTATGTATGTATGAAGGCATTAAATGCGAAGTAACCGAGAGAGTACGTTTTGGCTGTGAGTTAACGATGGCTATGAGTTATCCTGAAAGGAGAGGTTTCCTAGCGATTTCTATGCGAAGAAACTGATTGGAATCCGAAAGCTATGAACCAGGGTGAGTCACGAAGGTAAGCGAACTGGGAGGTGAGCGGAACTTTAGAAGGGAAAATAAAGAGGGAGAGGCATAAATGAGGCGCTATTTATCACTATATATATATATATATATATATATATTTCTTTTTTCTTTTATTTCGTCAAATAAGAGGAAGGGGGGAGAGGAGGGAGGAGAAGGAAGAGAAGGGGAGGGGTAGGAGATCGATTTCGAGAGGGGGAGGAGGAGGAATGGGGGTGAGGCAATGCGAGTTGTGCGATCGAGCGGCGAGGATCCACTGCGAGTCGGATCAGGCGAGCCTGTGCTGGGAGTGCGACGCCAAGGTGCACGGAGCCAACTTCCTGGTGGCGCGACACTCCAGGTGCCTGCTCTGCCGGAGCTGCCAGTCGCCGACGCAGTGGCGGGCGGAGGGCGCCAGGCTGGGCCTCACCGTCTCCGTCTGCGAGCGGTGCGCCGCCACCGCCTCGGCCCGGGGCAGGAAGGAGGGTGGCGGCGGCGGCGAGGAGGTGGAGGAGGAACAAGGGGAAGGGGGAGGAAGGGAGGAGGATGAGGAGGACGAAGAGGAAGAGGAGGAGGAGGAGGAAGATGACGACGACGAAGGGGAGGGGGAGGAGGAGGACGAAGGGGATAACCAGGTGGTGCCGTGGTCTCTGACGCCGCCGCCGGTGACGAGCTCGTCGAGCAGCGAAGGCGAGGAGGAGTCGGGCCGCATGGGGAATGGCGGTGGCTTGAAGCGGATGCGGGAGAACGCCGATCTCGCTGTCTCGCAGGTAAATCTGTTGCCGCTCTTCTTTGCATTCCGTTATGAATCAAAATCATTCATGATCAAAATTATTCGAATCCAATCTCATGATTTACCTACAAAAATCGATTCTTTTCCCTCGTCGCTGCAATTTTTGTATGGTAAAAAGCCAAAGAAAAAACAAGGAATTTGGGACTTTCGTCCCTTTGGGATCTCTTCCTGCTTTTTCTTTTCTTCCGATTCAAACAAAGCGCAAAAAAGACTAGTGTTTTCCCTATAATCGTGAAAGAGATCACAAAACAAAAAGCTTTCGATGAATAAAAGCTGAAACTTTCGACAAAGCTCCCATCTTTGAGGAGCAAAAGAAGCTTGAAACCTAAATCCCCTGCTGATTTCGAGCCCTTTTATGCGGGATCTCTATGGCTTTCGATTCTTACTGCGACGAATCGTTCGCAGGACGATCTCGCTTGCTCCTCGTCCCGCCCGAGATACCTTGCGTCGGCGCCCGCTCCATCTCCAGCTTCTGCGGAAGACGAGGCCAGCTCCTTCGCCCCCGCCGTCCGTCCCACCATGGATCGCAAGAGGCCCGCCCTTCTCCGCCCCGCCGTCGGTCTCATGACCCCGTTCCTGTCTTCCTCCGATCCAAGTGAGTTTACCTTCAATCGATGCCTCTTCTCTTAGCGATCAAGCTTGTTATCGTTCGATGCATTCAAAGGGTTGGTTTTCGTGTGGTGGGTCATTGCAGATCGATACAAGAATCTCCAAGGTTGAATGGTGTGCACTGCTGACTACAGAGGGAGCGATGAGACATGCATGCCGATGGATGGATTCATTTTGTGTAGTTTCGAGCATCTGTAGGTATTTCCATCTCAATGAACGAATGAATGGCTCGAGTGTTCCTCTGTTCTTGACTGTTGACTTGTTTCATGGGCTAATCGAAGGTTTGTCGAACTCACATCATTTCATTATATATATATATATATATATATATATATATATAGTATTTATTCTTGTGATGCGGATTCGTACTGCATGCAATCTGAATTCATGTGGCGTCGGTGTTTCCACGCTCCACCTCGTCCCACCATCCGAAGTAGCTGCTGGCCCCAAACAGAGCGTGGCTTAGGGCCCTTGTGGTCAGCAGACTCGGCACATGCACCATTCTCGAACGATAACCTTACGTTATCGGGTCGGATTTGATTTGCCGTTTGCATGGGGAAAAACAGATCCAAAAGGTGAAAACATTTCCAACAATAAAAAATATTACTGTACTGAGATGATTGACATTTTATTTATCAAGAAATTTCTAGAAAAAATTTGAACCAATGGAAACAAGAGATAAACTGCACAAACAAGTCATCGTTGCAAGGGAAGAGTGAGACATGCAAATAATCTCTCCATTTCAGGAATAATTAGCATCAACAAATTAAGATAAAAAATAAATAGTTACATCCCAATAGACTATAGTCTATATATTCTATGGTTTCAAGAACTAGTAATATTCATCTTGATGAATGATTAAATAACAAGGACATGCTCTCAAAGACCTACAAATAACTTATAAGAAGATTAGAAAAAAAAGACTATAAATAAAAAATTAAATAATAAAAAAAATCATATAATCGATCTAAAATAATTGAGATCTTATGATCTTATTATTATTATTATTACAATTTGAGTGTCCCACAGTAAACAAGGATGGCCGAGCAGCCTCTGCCACCTACCACCGACCACCAACAGTGGTAGGCTCTGTTAGCTGCTTGACATGGTTTCAGGATTACTGTAGCGTCCTTTGGACAGAGATGGATGACCGGGTTGCTTGCAAAAGCAGGTACTGACTTAGTTGCTTCAATGCCGTTTTAGCCACATATAGCGAATCTTTCCCCAACATCTCCCCTATCAAAAATGTACTGGTGAAGAATACATGGCAATGGATTTGGTTTTCGGGTCCCAGCTACGGTAGTAGCCTTACCGAATCCGAATCGCCTCCCCCGTATAGCAAGAAACCAATTATTATCATCTTTAATAATGAAAATGATGTTCGATCATCCATGTCGATCGTCTCGCGCCAAGAAATCGACTTGCAAGCGTTTGTTTGCCCACAGACAAACCACTTGCTACATGCAGACATGCAACCAAGCTTTTTCATGTTACAGATGATGGATTTACCATCTGGCTTCAAATGGAGATAACCAAACGAGAAAAACAAAGATTATGCTAGAGAACGAATTATATAACCAATGAAAAATGTCAACTAGTTTAGGTAGTAAAACTGTGTCGGGTCATTTTAAGATGTTAGGATCAAATCTGCAGAAGAAACCCAAGTAGACAGACAGGAAGATGAAGCAGTGTTCCATAACTTGAGAAAGTAACAACCAATGCAAAATGAAAATGAACCTAACAGCTAATATGAGCTTCAAAGCTAAATGGCAAGTTAAAATATTTAGAACCAAATATAATCTTACAAAGGAAACAACAGGCTGTACTTACGTTCATAAACATACTAAAAATGAATAGACAGAAAATTATGAAACATAAGGTTGGCAAAAAAGAACTCCAGATATTTGGGTGTGTTTTTATGGCCTAAACATAAGCAAACAGTAATGTAAACAGTCTTGACACATGATTACAATGACAGAACTGAAAAACTCAACAAACAAACTCAAGGAATTAAGAAAAGAACTGCAAATAATACTGGATCTCTTAAGTTTTATTAAATCCCTTCTGGCTTAAAACCGATTAAATCATCAATTATGGGACAAAATTGATTAGTACTCGCTAATTTGATTACAACAAACATTTAGCAGCAAGCTCTGGCAGACAGCCAATATGGAGGGTTAGCTGAATATTTTAGCAACACATTCAATATTCAAATAAAAGAGAACGGCATCTAAAACTGGTGAATCACACCTGAAAACTGTCAGGGATTATGCCATCTTTGACGAACCTGATGTGTGGGGCGACGTCTGCTATGGAACTTTCCAGAGGTGATTCAGCTCTCCTACATAGCTTTTCCAAATGATATATATGGAATCAATAGTCATCTACATGATCATTTTATTCTCAGAATGCAAAGTATTGTCGTTAAGTTGACTACACTTTTAAAGTTCGAGCAGGCTCAGCGAAACTGATGAGAGAGTAGAGAGACAGAGTGAGTACAGCATAATGCAGGACATTATAATGCGCTAGATAAAGTCATTGTAACCAAATATCAGGATCATTTATTACAGTTCAAAATATGCCATAGTTAAAGTAATTGGCCCATCTCCTATAATAGAAAAGAAAACATGGGGATACTCAAAGAAGGTCATAATAGGTTATCTCAAGTGCAAGATGCATAGGAATTTCTCAGGCATCTGCAAAAGAATTACCAATCAGTTAACTGAAAATTATGAAAGATGCAACAGAAAATATAAGCAACACTAGCTTGTTATTTGATGTTTAGATATGAATACTGTTATGCCCCTTCAAATCATGTTGCATGTTGAAGTTTTGACTTGTTAATCACAGCATGCTCCCTAAAAATTTATGGCAGAAAGCAACATACCATTATTCCAGGAACTCAGTGTAAAGACCAAAAGATCAAACTCCAAGTAATATATTAGAAGACAATAATGCAATGCCTAGACATAGGATTGAGAACCACCATGATTTGACTATAAGGGCTGACATAGCTTGCATTTTATGGAACAACATCTTGCTCATGTTTCGACTCGCAAACGTGGAGAACAATAAGCTCAACTTGAAAATATGCTTGATATTTCACGAACCACATCTGCCACTAGTCAGAATGTCCTTTAACAGCACATATATACTGAACCACTTCAGAGAACATATAATAGTACATTCTATGTTAAGCCATTCTAAATGTAAAAAGGCAAAATTTTCACCCTTGATCATCGGTAGTGGACAAGAGGCCAAGAGAAGGCTGTTCCATAGAATATTTTGCCCCTTACGACTAGGTATAAAAGCTCGTTTTCAACACAATGAGCGGAGGCGACTTACCTTTTTTTGACTACTCGCGTCCGCATTTATACACCTTGGGTAACTAACTTGGGCATCGGAGGGATCGAGTCAGGAAACCTCTCTTGACCTCGGTCTTCATGTAGGTAATACCTCCGGAGCTCGACGTTTCCACCTCGGAAGTACCTTGACAACCCTGCGCATACGGGTCCAGATCACGTTGGGCTGACTAAGACGTCAACGACTTCTTCCCTCATCATTTTGGTGCTAAAAAGAGGGCCCGATGTCATAGGAACTCCCGCTCGCCGACCCTCTCGATGAACACTTGAGCAAGGAAGCTTTGCCCTCGACCCACAGTACTTTCAATCAAGGGGGACAACAGCCACCCTTTCCACATATGGACGCATCCACCTCGGCGCAAACGCTAATATGATATTGGTATCTATTCGATGACTCAAGCCTCTCACCCTCAGGGATGACCCCGAGCCACCTTCTCGTCCCCAACGAGGTGTTCTTCAATCTCACCAGTAAGCGCAGATGCTAACGAGCATGATATTGGTCGTTGCCCAATAGGCAACACCATCAGCTCAACTGCCAGTAGCAATGGCACCTATCAAGGTTTCCCCACCAAACGTGGTGCCGACATCCCAAGAGCACCCGAGACTTGTCGAACCACCCACCGAGAGAGCACTTCGCTCCCTAACCGTGGAATTCAACGGACCATACCACCACTCTACCCTGTCTGAATCTAAGACCTAGTCGACGAATTCAACCGAGGATTCCCTGTGAATCCAACGACGATAGATGGATCGACGTTTGGAGGAGATGCGACGAGAGTCTAACAATCCAAAGGGGAAGTGCTGGTTGACGCCACATCGGGTCAATCACCATTCACCCAAAAAATCCAGGAAGAACATATTCCAGTAAACTTCTGACTCCTGTTATTAGAGGCATTCGATGATAGTGCCAATCTAATGGAGCACATTGTAACTTTTCGTGCCCAAATGTCATTGTATAACACTTCAGATGCCCTGATGTGCTGCACCTTCCTTAACACGTTAAGAGGCCCAGCATAAGAATGGTCGTGAAGCTGCTTTCCAGCAGTTCTTTTAACTAACTCGAGAGGGAGTTCGAACTTCACTTCCTCGGGAGCATATGCCCAAGACCATTGCAACAATGCTTCTCAAAGGCAAGGGGAGGAGGAAACACTTATAGACTTCATTGCTTAGTTCATTAATGAAATCCGAGGTGTGGTAGATGCCCATCCGTTGCCCATAATACAGACCTTCATGATAGGGCTTAAACCCTCTCGTCTCTTTTGATTATTGGTGAACCGCAATCTACCCCGACCTTGAGGTCACCGCGGTGAATGAGGAATGAATGACCCGAGTTACCTCGGCCAAGGTCCGAGTTGACCCCCCTGAATATATTTAAAACTGAAGTTTTTCGACAGATAAAAGAAAATGAACTCTTAAAAGACCTTCACCCGATGAAGACTCAGTTGGCGAACAAAGACAAGTTTAAATGTTATTGATTCCACCGGGATTACAACCACGACACAGAGGATTTCCACGACTTGAAAGAGTAAATTGAAGAACTTATATGTTGGGAACACCTCAGGTGGTTCGTTCGAAAGCATTGGGAACCCTCACCTTGACCTCAAGGGCCGGGAGAGAGATAAATCTACGTCATCATTGGTGGACCCACCTCAAGGGGAGTCAACTCTTAGGGTCGTAAAGCTTTTGCCAAAGCTACCATTGAAAAGCGCCCGAGGACAAAGGGTGGCTTGGAGATAACCTTAAAGAAGGAAGAGACGGAGTACCTTGACCCGAACCACGACGATGCCTTGGTAGTTTCTGTAAGGATGATCAATGCTCGGGGAAGCCCAACCCCGCCTCCGTCCAAGGCACAGGGGTTGGGAAGTCCGACCCTGCCTCCGCTCGAGGCATAGGAGTCAGAAAGCCTGACCCTCGCCTCTAATCGAGGTATGGAGGTTGGGGAACCCGACCTTTGCCTTCGCCCAAGGCACGGAGGTCGGGAAAGTACAACCCCCACCTCCGCCCGAGGCGTGGAGGTCGAAAAACCCTACCCCGTTCGGCCAATGTGTGTCGCTCGACAATATGCGGTGCACGATGGACTAGATGTGCCGAATGAACTAAACATGCCACCAGGTCAACAATGAATCAAAGAGGTATGAGCTCGACATGCCGGATGAACTAGACGTCGCACTTTAGACCCCTCTGGCAAAAGCCCTAAAGAACGCCTTTGGGGGGAGACAAATGATAGGAAGTACGTTATTAGCAAATCATTATCTGACATATAATCACCATGTGGTGTCCAGGGTGGAAAGAGAAGACAAACTCACCCTCCATCCGTCTGCCCATGTAGACAAGAGGCCAAGGGAGGTTGTTAGAGGTGATTAAAGGCTACCTCCCCACAGAATATTTTATAAAATATTCTACCCTTTACGACCAAGTATAAAAGCTCATCTCTAACACAATGAACAAGGGCGACTTACCTTTTTTTACTACTCGCATTCACATTCATACATCTCGTGTTACTAACTTGGACGTCAAAGGGATTGGGTCGGAAAACCTTTCTCGACCTTGGTTTAGGTGGCACATCGGGAGCTCGAGGTTTCCACCTCGAAGACAGAGGCGCATACGGATCCAGACTCGTTAGGCTGACCAAGACATCAATGACTTCTTCCCTTATTACACACTGATGTAATGAAAATTTGCTTCATGAATAGAAGCATTAAAAATCTAGAGACAGCAGAAATATACAAATACTCTTTCTAATACTTTAAAGCTGCTATCTTAGGTTGTCTCAGGTTGCGGGTTATCCAAACCTGGCTTCCCGAAAGGAATTCACCTCTGTACATGGAAGCTTCGAATGTAAGGATGGAAGGATTTCACCTCAGTACATGGACAACACCAATCCACTCCACAACATTTCCCATAAATCACCACATAAAAGGTCTACGATAGAGTTCGTGGGCATATCTTACATGACATTGTTCAGAGAATAACAATCGAGTTAGATATCAAGAAGAATACTCACCTTTTTGTTCCTCAGCAGCATCGTGATACTCCTGTTCCTCCTCTGGCGCCAGGTGAAGCTCGATCCCCTCGTCTAACTTCTTGGCCTCTCCATTGTCCAGTCCAGATCCAGCACCAGCCCCATCATCAGGGTAACGGACCACCACCACGGGGCAAGCGCAGTGATGGACGCAGTAATCGCTGACGCTTCCGAGACGGCTCTTGCTGACGCTCCTGGCGGCCCCAAATCCCCTGCTCCCCATGATAACCGCGCTAGGACGCAGCCTCTCCACCTCGAGGCACAGCCGCTCCTTCATGTCGTGGTCCTTGACGATGTGGATCTTGAAGGGAATCTGCGCCTCCACGAGGGGTTGCGCCAGGTCCTGCGCCTTGCTCGTGGTGAAGGCGTCGAAATCCTCCTCCATCTTCCGCTGCGACTCCTCTGAGGCAGGGAGCCCATTCTCCGCGTCGTCGTCGCCGGCCGGTAGGGAGAGGTCGACTGCGCCCCAATCGGCGCCGTAGAGGACGCTGGTGGGGCGGACATGGAGGAGGACGACGGCGTCCCCGGGGCGCAAGTAGTTCCGTACGGCCCAGCTCACAGCGTGGGCGCTCTCGTCGCTGAGGTCGACGGCGATGGCGATCCGGCGGCGGGATCCCGCGGAGGCGGAGGGGAGGAGGCGCGCGGGGCGATCGGGATCCGGTAGAGCATGATGCGTGTCCATGGCCGGGGGTGAGATCACTCGCGGGCGACGCGATCGGGGTCGCCTATAACAGAAGTGGAATGCGAGCGAGCCTGGAGGACGAGGAGGCGACGTGTAAACGCGGGATCGAAGTCACTAGAAGACACCAGAGAGAGCGAGAGGTGTGACAATATTCGTGCGTGTCGGATGTAGTGTTCTCTCCGGTGCTCAACAGCAGTCGTGCATGACGAACGTCCATCGTGATCGTCCGCACGAAAATTGACGCTTGATTCTACGATGATTATTATTATTATATTATATATTTTTAACTAAAGCATAAAGAAAACACAGACGTGGACGTGCCGGAGTGGTTATCGGGCATGACTAGAAATCATGTGGGCTCTGCCCGCGCAGGTTCGAATCCTGCCGTCCACGTTTTCTTGACGTCTTTTTCTTTTTCCTTCTCATTTCTTACATTTCTCTTTTCTTCTCACTTTATTCTAATAATAATTATTATTATTCTTTTATGTTTTAGGACAGGCATCAGTAAATTTATTATTTCTTGATATTTTATGGTGTAATATCTTACATTATATGAATTCAGATTTCTTGAAAAGAACTCCATGTTCAATAATGATGTAAAATATTGAATTCTGAATATTTTCCATAAAGTAATGAGATCTCCTCTTCTCATTTATCTTAGTAAATCATATAGATCATTCTTTTCATGAAAAATATTTTTTTTTATGACGAGAATCAAAAGAGATTTAGTCATTCTTCTAGTCTTGTATATATTAGCAAATAAATATTTTCTTATTCTTATAATGTAACATCTCATTAGTCTCACGGGCAATGTATATGATGAGTGTATTATGTATATGATTCGGGTTGTGACATATAATGTATGAAAGCAAGATTTGCCCTAACACAATGTCTAGTTTCAGTCTCAATAACTTTTTATTTAGTATATCTTTTTTAATTAAATTTGATGTAATATTAGCTTATATTCTAATAATATAAAATATCTCATTGGTCACATAATTATTTATTTTTTATAATATTTGAAAATTTTTTGAACTTTTATATTGAGTAAGAAAATTTCAAGTTTTCTATTTACTGTTTCATTACTTTTTTTTCCCTTCATTTCCTTCTTTTCTTTTATTTTATGTTAATGGTTTTTATGTTTTTAAATGGGAAAATGATGGTTGACTATTCTAAAATGTAATGAAATACCATTTTCTGATTTTTATCAAATAATACAAATCATTATTTTCATCAAAAATATTTTTCCTTTCTTTCTCCATTATTATCATATTTACATCTTGTGCATGTCTGATTATATCTTGGAACATCTTCTCATCGTCATCTCACACGAAGATGAGATTTATCTTTTTTATAAACTAATTAATACTACATCATCATGTAATGTGACTTTGAGTTACTTTTTTTGTTTACTATAGATTTCTTAATTAAGACTGATGTAATATTAGTTTATATTATAATAATCTAAAATACCTGACCACATTGTATAAATTCAAACATCATCTCTTATTTTATTTATTTTTATAATATTTGGAAATTTTTAGGAGATTGTTAGCATTGAATAATAAAAAATTAAAATTTTCTATTTACTCTTTCCATTATTTCTTCTTTTGTTTTTTCCCTTTCCTTTTTTTTATCTTTCCTTTATTTTAATGACTTTATGTTTTCAGCATGTGAATTGATGTTTAACCATTTGGTTCAGGAAGGATCTACAACATATTTTTTTTATTCCCTTTGCGAATTAAAAAGGTATCGTCATCTCTCTACACTTATGCTTAGAAAAGACTCTCGATCGTATATTATAACATCTTTTCATCATCATTAGACACGAGAGTGAAATTTGTTTTAGTATATCATCGGACTAATGTCGTGGAGGAGATTTCGGATTAAGTAAGTTTTTCTATTGTATTGTAAATTTCTTAAATATATCTGATGCAATATTAGTTTGTGATATGACAATCTAGTCTTCTTCAAATTACTTATTTTTATGATCAAATTACTTGATATCGCCCTAATTAGATATGATAATTCGAAATCACTAAGTAGAATCCATGTGTTTATGTTATCTATCACAAGTGACATGATGATGTGAACATCACAATCATCTTGACAATCATAAAAAAAAAAAAATTCCTCAGATGCCAACACTTAGACAAGTGCTCTGGAAATTCTTCTTCCTCCCACCAATCCAAACATGAGATAAGATCAATCCACAGTAAGGGTAGACACAGAATTATGGATGAATGCATTGAAATGGTTGGTGGATTCAACCAATGTAGGATGTTTCCTTGCTAAAACATGCATCATAATTGCTAGTCCAAGTCAAAATTGTTGACTCAGTGGCTGCTGATGATTCGGATAGTGATCCAATCATTAAATATGTCTTATCATAGTTTATCACATAGGTTGGTTTGATGAATTCAACTACACTTTTAATAAAAATAAAAATTATATTTAATTTATTTAATATTTCAGTTGTATGGTTCGAGAACGAGTTTGCTCGGTCGAGGTGCAAGCATCGGGTCCTATTTCTAACGCCAATCTGATAAGAGATCATTTGATCAATCGATCATTGATGAGTATACTCATACGTTTTTATCATTTTCAAACAATATAAATTTCAAAAGATAAACTTATGAGTCATTAGTTCTCGTATTCCTCGTACTAAATGGCTCGTCAATAACAACCCAATAGCTTTCTCGGTCATCAAATTGTTTGGGATTAATGTCTCATAAATTCTCATAATTGTAACACTCGGTTGACCAAAGGTCGAGGTAGGCGTGACGCTGACAGCACGTGGATGCCTCTGCGTGGTTGACTTTGTGAGTTCCCTCTGTCTCGTTGACCGAGGGCGACGCCAAAAAAGTAGGTATTTCTCCAGTCATGGAAACCGGACGAGTGTGGGCTTCCTCATCGCCAGTTATCTATCCATCCGTTTATTCTCATACGGACGGTCGGATGGAGACTGGACGCCTCCAGTACGAAGCTGTCCAGTGCCTCGTCGCCGCTGTGGCCCCACCGTGGGTGGCTAAAGCGCCGGTCGGTAAATGGTCCGCGGATCGCCTTCCCTACCTCGTCCTCCACGCCTTCTCCGACTCGAACCGGGGAAGGAGGCAGAATCGAGCGGAGGTCCTCCGTTTACTCTTGAGATCTCGGGTAAGTCCTTCTCAAGGTAAGCCTCCTCGTTCCAATTTTATGGGACATGATGCTGTGAGATGTCGGTTCCAGCTGGAATCTTGGATTCTCCTCTTGAAACGAGGGACAAAAGGGGAAAGGGGAACAAAAAAGAAGTGGTACGGGCTGGATCATTTTAGGTATCGTGAGGGGTTTTGAGTGTTCTTGGATGGATTTTTTATGTCTATTTGAGGTTCTTGTGGTTTCGATTGGAGTTTAATTTGGCAAACCTAAGGCGCTCTTTTTGATCGGAGGGGAGGGGAGGGAGCAGCCGGATTTGTGAGTATGAAATCCTGTGTGGTGTTAATCTGACTGTGGTATCGCCTTAGATCGTCATGCGCCTGTTACATTATAAGGAAGCTGTGATTCGATATCCGGCGTACTAATCCTCTGTGAAAGTTTCACTTGGATTATCAAGAGCAATGCTTCTATCTTGGATCTTTTGTTTCTTTTTCGTGGAAGTTTAGGCGTCAAAAACAGGATCTTGATGTTGAACTCCTTTTATGGTGATTATTTCTACAAGTGTAGGAAAAGGGGAAAGAATTCTTGACGCGCTTATATGGTGCATGAAGACCCTTAATAAGCAGCAAACTAATTCTTGAAAATTCAGTACATTATTTTGTAGGTGAACCGATGTTTTTTGGTAAAAGCACTTCTTTTGATTCAGTAAATTGGTCTATCCTTTGTTTAGGTGGCACTTGTTCATCCTTTACTAGTTATTCGTCATAAAATTGTATCGGTTGTACACTTGGTTGCATTGAGTATATTAAACAATAAAACAACTCTGACATCTTGGTAATGATTCATGGGAATCTCAGTTGGTCTTCAGGTATGGAAGGTGATAGTCCCAAGGGGGATCTGCCACTGAGAGATTTCTATATCCCGGATTACATATTCACGCCAGAATCAGAAAAAGAGGATGTCCCAGAAAAACCCACTTGTCCTGTGATTGTTTTCGTCAATTCAAAAAGTGGTGGCCAACTTGGAGGTGATTTGATCAAAACATACCGGCAGCTTCTCAATCGAGTTCAGGTACTTTGATTGCTTAGAGAGGTTGGATGCAAAATGAAGGCTTGTGTTTGCAGAAATACAATGTATTCTACACAAGTTTTAATTACAATTTGGATTATTATTTCTTCTTCAGGTTTTTGATCTAGGAGAGGAGGCTCCTGATAAGGTGCTTCACAGGCTTTATGCCAACTTTGAAAAGCTCAAATCCGATGGTGATAAACTAGCTGCGGAAATTGAGAGGACATTGAGATTAATAGTGAGTGAAACACTTCAAAAGAATACTAATATGAGATTTCTCCAGTTACATAATTTCCCCTAATTTTAGTTTCTTCAATCGTGTGCTCTTCCAAGCTTGTTTGTGTTCCTTATTTGACATACAACTGCTACGTTAGGTTGCAGGTGGTGATGGTACAGCTGGTTGGCTTCTTGGTGTGGTTTGTGATCTTAAACTTGCTCAGCCGCCTCCAATTGCTACTGTGCCTTTGGGAACAGGAAACAATCTTCCCTTTTCATTTGGTTGGGTAGGTCAAGTGCTAAAGATATTTTCCTATTATATTTTATATTCAGGACTTCTTACGCACATAAAGCTTTGTAGTGTATCAGTTCCTTTATCAGGCCTTGTCCAACTTGTTTCTTTGTCCCTTGAATGCGAATGCTAAGATCCAATTTTTCATTTATGCCTCTATCTGAGAGGCAACTTTATGTATTGTTTAGAACTTTGGCAAAGATACTAATCATAGCTGTCAAATAACCTAGTGTTTCAGACTACATATACACACTATAGCTTGTTAAGGTTTCTTCTGCAAGCATTTATCTACACCAGAGAGTTCTGTTTCAGTTTCTGAGATTGAGTGAAAATTTGTATATTTACTGGGAAATTTTGCCTCTTGATGTATTTTAATTTGTTTAGTTGATAACAAAGTCATAATTCCATTCATTTAACTGCATTGCAGGGGAAGAA